ATAACCCAAAATTATATTTGAGGTTGTTAGGAAGACTCAACAAGTCAACCAAAATATTTCAAATGGCCTTTAAATTATTTCAAACCTATCCCCAATCCCGAGGAAGAGGTTATAAATTGCCCAAAAAAATGTGTAAAAATATCCATATTTCATGAACACTTCTCTCTATATTTAAATTATGTTGTCATTTTTATTTGTATATTTAATCAAATGAATTTGAGAAGAGAAAAGAGGGTTATTTTCGCATTAAAATTTTTCCAATGCCAATTAGTCAAAATTGATTATGTAATGAGTTGAGTTGACTAATCATATTGTTTTCTTATCTCAATTTTGACTAACCTTTTTTTTTTTTTAAGAATTAAATTTATCATTCATTTAATTATTACTAATTTCTTGAAATTGAATTGTTTGGGTCATTTAGAAGGTGGGCTTTTGACACCTCAAAATCTGGGCTTATTAGCCTGAAGCCCAGCCCACATTATTTTTACTTTTTAATCCAAAATATTGCATATCGATTACATTTTTTTTTTATCCTTAATTATAATTTATAATTTATAATTATTAAATAAAAATAATACAACCTAACTATTAACCCAATATTATTGAAATAAAGTGTATTTTCTTTAAACCTTTTAATCAAACTCATATACAAACTCATATATAAAAAAAGTAGATGGAAGCTGGTTTCAAATAATTGAAGTTATCACACCAACCCAACCCAAACTATGAGGACTGAGTTGGGTTGGATTAGCATTAAAGGTTGGGTTGGGTTCATTTTTCAGAACTGGAACTGAATCGGTTTGGTTTCGGGTTTGTGAAATAAAACTTTCAGGTTGACCGAGCCAAACAAAAATATATTAAGAATTTTTTTTTTTTTTTTTTTTACAACAGGACAACCTAATTGGAACCCAACCCAACCCGAGTTACAAATCCAACCCATCACAACTTTTAGTTGGGTAAAAAAATTACTCCAATGAACACAAGCTGAACCATGCTAGTTGAAGTGATGGGCATTTGAGAATGGCGAGTGGCGAGCGATAAGATTTGGTTCAGAGAAATAAACAAATAAAGAAAAGGGTAAGAATGAGTATTCCCAATAAGGCTATTTCTTCCACTTCACCCACCGGACCCTGTGTTGGGTTCGCCCAGCATCTGAGTCCGGGCCGCCGTATACCAACACTCGTAATTTTCCCAGGGCGGTGGCGGAGGAGATGGGGTGGGGTGGTTTGTCAGTCGCCGGCGATGGATGGGTGCAGAGCAGACCACGGAGGCGCCGTCGAGACCATGGAGACTCGAACTTTCCCGGCGGTTCCGACGGTGGGCTTGGCGACGGAAAATCTGAGGGGGTTGGTGGCAAAGTTGAAATCTGAGAAACCGGCGTTTAGTTCAGGAATTATTCGGCTCCAAGTAAGCCTCCTTCAAACCCTCCCGGACCTCTTTCAAATGCCTCGCATTACGCATTTCTTATCTCTTCCATGTACGTGGAATGAGAACCGCCACGTGCGGCAATTTATTTATTTATTTATTATTATTTTTTTAAAAAAAAATTTAAGGGTGGCTGTAACATTTCTTTTCTCTCCTCTGTTTGAAATTCTGTTGACTTTGTGCACATTCTGAGACTGAAGGAGGGTTGACTATTTTCCAGCTGCCAATCCAACGGCACATTAAGGCGATTGATTGGCTTTGTTCTCAGCCTCTGCTTCTTCCTCGTATCTTCTTCTCCGGCAGGAGCAGAGCCATTGATTCTGATCCTCTCCCCGCTGTCAGCTCCAATGCCCACCACCGCCTCGCCAGCGTCGCAGGTGTGGGCTCTGCAGTCGTATTCTGCCGCCATCATCAGTTTTCGAACTCTGATTGGGCGTCTATAAAGAGGTAAACTCATTTTGCCTCTGTTTATATTCACTCCGCTATCTGTTCGACGAAATGCCTAGGCTAATATTCTGTAAATTATAGGCTCCTGTCAAAGAAATGCCCCCTGATTCGTGCTTATGGAGGTATTCGCTTTGATTCACGTGCGAACATATCGCCTGAATGGGAGCCTTTTGGCTCGTTTTACTTCATGGTCCCTCAGGTACAGACTTCTTTCTCCAATCTCGTTTATCGCAATTGGATAATGGACGCCAAAATCACAGGTTGAGTTTGATGAGTTCGAGGATGATTCGATTCTTGCCGCTACTGTAGCTTGGGATCATGCTTGTTCTTGGACTTGGGAAAATGCTGTTGAATCGCTTCAATCCACAATCGAACAGGTCGACTATTTCATACAATTTGATTCTCTTTGTTCATTGCATTGAAAGGAAGAATATTCTCCCATAGATAATCACTCCCTACTAAATTTCTTATCATTCAGGTTTCTTCTGATTATGTAAATGTACAAAGAGATCTTCCTCAGATATCCATACTTAGCCACAATCATGTTCCCACCAAAACATTCTGGGATCATGCAATTAACAGGGCGCTGCAAGTGATTGACCAATGCGACTCAGATCTTACCAAGGCACTCACCAATTCTTCACTCTTACCACAAATTTATTTATGTTTCTATTCATCAGTAAAATCGGCTGTCTGATCTTATGCATTATATTTAGGTCGTACTTGCACGCAGTACCCGAATAGTGACGAGCGTAGATGTTGATCCTATTACATGGGTTGCATGTTTACAGGTAGCTATTGCATGGGTTGCATGTTTATGCAGTAATTTTGTTTCCTGAGTCTAGTTTTGATCGTATCAGAAAGAGGGGAAAAACTCTTATCAGTTTTGTGTCCAGCCATCCAATGCTCCTGCCTTCATAGGAAATACGGTATGTAACAAAATTTCATACGCTTCATTATATCAGTCAACCATTTCATTTTGTTGCCTAATTTCAAAATGGGGAATATCTGTGATCCGGCTGAAGATGGTACTCATTAAAGATGTTTTCAATTAGTTTCCTACTCGTTTTGGTTTTGTAATATTTATTTTCTTACTAACTTTGGCTTTGATATGTTCGTAATAGCCTGAGCGGCTATTCCATAGAGAAGGACTTAGTATTATATGTGAGGCCTTAGCTGCAACCCGTGCTAGAGGCAGATCGGCTATTGAAGACCTTAAAATAGAACAAGATTTATTATCCAAGTTGGTTTCATCTCTAAATTCTTATTTTGTCTACTCAATGATGCTGTAACCCTGTTGCCTCAACCAATGAGCTGCGGGCGAGAGTTTTCACTAACTCTACTTTCTATGTGCAGCCCAAAGGATGACCTTGAGTTTTCGATTGTGAGGGAAGCCATCAAAAGGAAGTTAGAGGCAAGTTTGAGCTTCAGTCTTGCTCTTTCGCTATCTTGCTTTCTGTCGATGAAATGAAACTTTCCCTTAAACAGCCTCCCCTAAATCGAGACTCGACTTCTTCTCTAGAGCTCTCGAACAAAGCACACCCTTTATTTGACACTTGTAACAAGGGCATGACTCTGATATTATGTTAGGAACCACATACCTTCACAATAGTATGATATTGTCTACTTTGAGCATAAGCTCTCGTGACTTTACTTTTGGTTTCCCCAAAAGAGTCACTTTTGGTTTCCCCAAAAGGCCTCATACCAATGGAGATGGTATTCCTTACTTATAAATTCATGATCTTCTCCTTAGTTAGCCAATGTGGGACTCCTCTCCCAATAATCTTCAACAATGGTTGTCCCTGATAACGACCTGTCCCACTAAGTTTGGTCTGTGGCTGCTATGAGCTATCAAAAATGATATTTGCAGTGCTTCCAAACCGTGAATTTGTTCTATTTTTTGTTATCGTTTTTCAAGCACCAAACAACATTTACATTGGTTTCTCAATAAGCTGCTGAAATTTATAGGCAATTACGAAGTGGACAACATTCTGAGAATATTGCAGATTCTTAGCCAGCTTAATCCTGTTTGTAGGCTGTATGTGATGCTGTAGTCGTTGAACCACATAAATCAGTTAGAAAACTTCCCAGAATTCAACATCTGTATGCCCAACTAGCAGGCAGATTGAGAACCAAGGATGATGAGGTAAGAATCTCCAAATATTTATGTCCCTGTAAACTGAACTTCCCTCACGTGAATATACCGCTCTAACTCTACTTTGTTGCTTGAAAAGTTTGAAATTTTATCAACGCTTCATCCAACTCCCGCGGTTTGTGGATTTCCAACAGAGGAGGCTCGAGATTTAATTGCAGAAACTGGTAAGGTTCATGAGTGCGTGATCCGTTCTATTAGCTCCCCAAGCCAATCCAAGTTATGGATGGTTTCCTTCAAAATGCTGATTATGGGTCTTGTAAGTCTGTCGTCTTCATCCTTCTGTATACATTTAAGAACTTGGGATATTTATGCAGAGTTATTTGATAGAGGGATGTACGCCGGGCCTGTTGGTTGGTTTGGAGGAGAAGAGAGTGAGTTTGCTGTGGGCATCAGATCAGCATTAGTGGAGACAGTAAGATGGCCTCTACCATATGAGCTACAAACTTAAATACTTCCATTGAATCCTTACTCGAATTTAAAATTTCTAGAGCTTAGACATCATTTCCATTTACAATTCTCTGAGTTCTTACAGTCTTTGATTATAGGGTCTTGGTGCCTTGGTCTATGCGGGAACAGGGATAGTAAAAGGAAGCAATCCGTCTTTGGAGTGGGATGAATTGGAGCTCAAGATATCTCAGGTACTCTGGAACTTACATCTCTTGTCTCGAAAATGCTCTACTTAGTAGCTCAATTTTCATACCTTATACCTTTGATTTGCATATTTGCAGGTTACCAGATCGCTTAAACTGGAATTGGCTTGAAGCACCCACGTTTGATCGGTGAAGCTGTCGTCTGGGAAAGTAAGGGCCTAAGCTTTTCGATCAGGTTCCTTCCGGTTGTGGCTTGAGTCAGCAAATGGTTAGTTCGTTCTTCGTTTTGCTTTGCCTGTTTAGATCACTGTGCCACATTCATAACGTATATAGATAGGTGGCTGCTTCATTTAAGTATGATCGAATGTTTTAGAATCAATTACTTGTAGAGAAATATATTTGTACATTTATTGGAGAAACCACTAGTATTTAAAGTATTAAGAACAATTTCCAAAGCTCAAATGTAAATTACCGAACATATATGTCACTTGAAAACAGAAAACCACAACACACACTAAATACCATCAACTTAGTGAAATAGATTTGGACTAGTGAGAAGAAGAAGCACCCTGAAGAAGTCCATCGCGAATTTGCGATGCGACGTCTCGAACAGCTCCAGGTCCATGAGGTATAAACACAGAAGTGGACTTGGAAGCAGCTCCAATTTCTTTCATGGTGTCAAAATATTGGGTCACAAGCACCATATCCATAACATCCTTTGCCGTCGTCCCTGGAACATTAACAGAGAATCCCAACACACTGTCTCTTAAACCATCCACAATTGCTTGACGCTGTCGAGCAATACCCAAACCAGACAAGTACTTGGCTTCAGCTTCACCCTCAGCTCGCTTTATCTGCAAAATTTTCTCTGCTTCTGCCTTCTCATTTGCTGCCACCCTTAATCTAGCAGCTGAATGGATATTAGTAGTTAAATAATGAGACCTGAACTAAGCTTAAGGCAAAAAGGAAAAAGATGTCAAGTTTTTGAGTATCAGGGATTGGATTAGTACCAGCATTAATTTCATTCATTGCTCTCTTCACATGCTCGTCTGGTTCTATATCGACAATGAGCGTTTGAACAATCTCAAAGCCATAAGCCGACATAGCCTGAGAGCAATTATTCAAAAGTTACAAAACACTTAGAATTTGCTTCATTGAACGACCAAAAAAGTTTACCTTTTCAAGTTCATCTTCAACTGCTTTGGCAATATCATTTTTCTGCTCAAAAGCATCATCCAAGTTGAGCTTTGGAACACTTGCTCTAATTACTACAAATATCCAAGAAGTTTCTAAAGTTTAAAACAAGCAAGCTTACACAGATATGAAGAAAGAAGAACGCATTTAACTTATAGGTTTAACAGGAAAGGACTGGAGTATACCATCAAAAACATAAGCCTGGATCTGAGATCTTGTATTGCTTAGTTTGTAGAATGCATCGCTTGCTTTATCGGCCAGTGCTCGATATTGAATCGACGCAACCACGTTGACAAACACATTATCCTAAAGAACAAAACCCCCTTAAATTTGAGCAACAAGGAACTCCCAAGTCCTAAGATTGATAAATAAATTCCAAGGACAGTATAGCAGAGCAGTTTCTTATGACCATATCTCTTTAAAGTACAACCAAGAAATCAGAACACCATGGTATAGTCATTTCTGAGGTAACTCAACCAATAATCTTTAGAAATAGCTGTGTAGAACAGTAAATATGATGGTGAATGATGAGACAGAAATGGTACCTTTGTCTTGGTCTCACATCGGACATCCAATTGTTGCAACCGGAGAGACAGACTGCCGGCGACCTGAGCTCCAAGAAACCAAGGCAAACAATGGCATCCTGGCTCAAGAACTTCCTCATATTTCCCAAATCTCTCCCTGATAGCCACAGTGGATTGATCCACTTGAACACAACAAAAAAGATTACCCATATCGAATCAGAAATTTGGATTCACAACGAAAAATCTGTAATGAAATTGGAATCACGGGATGCTTTTATTAAAGTATTTTGCGTTTGAATCAGCACGCAGAATTGTATGAAAGGACGAGCGGTCTTGACCTTACGAAAAAGATATGAAATTTACCGAAGTAAACGATGGCCAAGTTCTTCCCTCCCTAAGTTTCTCCTATGAAAAAGAGTTTCTTGTTCAGCTGTCGGACCCACTTGGCCGGATTTTTATTTACTATTATATGTTTATTTCCTTTTGCAAGTTTTGTTTAATGGGTTGACCAATCAAATGTTTGATCTTGGAAAATTTATCCAATTATTTGCCATAATTTCTTATTTTTCCTTATTTATTTATTTTTTTTAATTTCCTTTAAAAAGAAAGGAGATATGTTTTGTAAGGGAGATTTCCCCCTCTCAAAGCAAAATCCTAACTTTATTTGGACTTCAAAATTTATTTAGTTCAATTAAAAATTTTTTAGATTAAATTGATTCTGGTACAGATATTATGAGATATTTTATATTTTTTTTTTTCTGATGATTTTTTTTTTCCATATAGAATTATGATTTGGACATGGTGGATGATGACTAGACAATTAAGCTTATCCACATCCTTTCTCAATTTAAGCATTGTTTTTAAAACACCCTTTGATTCTATCTCCTCTTTCCTTAAATACAAATTTTAGTGTTTTTTTTTTTTTTTTTTA